GCGATTCAAACATTATAATAGCTATTTAAAAGAGCTATTTCAAGACAAATGTATAAAACTATTATATGATTTGAATATCTGATTCACTTGTAACAAAACTTCGTATTGAACTTCTTTTTGAAACCAGCAATTGAAAGTCTACCGCTATATAGAAATCATCGTACCTACTTAAACATTTTCATACAGATCTTAATTGATTTTAATAACTTATGATAAACAGCTAAAAGATGTATTCAATGCTTGAAATGATCCTTGTTCGAAATAAAACAATTAGAATGAATGAGTATCTGAGTATTTATTAAAAAAGGAAGTGATTATGTACACTTCAATACACATACTCACTTCCAAGAAATATCTTGTTTCATTTGTTGATTGAAACTTATTTGTGAGTAGAATACGACAGAAAAGATGAAATTTATTTGAATTGAAGTTAAATAAGATGTAATTTGGTAAAGCTGATTTTCATTATACGTACACATGCACCTGCGACGAATCCTTGATATGGCTAATCAAATGTAATTTTACCCAAAGCAATATTTCCTATTATGATTTACGGTATTCACATCAATTTTTCTAGTGTATGCTTTTCACTATATTGTACGTATCCCCACAATTTTCCGCCGTATTTCTAGAGTTTCAAAGATTCGTACTGTATACGTATAGATTTGGAGTCCTTCGATGATCCACTGTTGTGGTCGATTGACGCGATACCTGAAACATGAACAGACACAGTTGTGAAGAGTAACGTTTTCTCACAAAATGATGCAATCAGACAAAAGGCGTCGTACATGATGACAATAATTCACACTTTACACGAACTTTTCGATCAGCTTAATGTCTTTTTGAGTTTTATGAAACTGAGAGACATTTTGGGTAATCAAATCGGGTTGATCATGCAATTAGTAATAAGTAGACAATTATTGAATTATTGCCGATTGAATAAAGAACGACGACATTTTTTCAAAATAATTTTCCAAAACAATGAACATAGATGCTCAACAACAATTATTTTCGAACGTATTTAGAAGAAAACAAAACTATTGTTCTATATGATTAAATTTTATCTACTTAGTGAATACAGGAGCCATACCTAATTGTTCAAGTTCTGTATTTATGAAAATTTTCTTGTTTTGTTACTACTGACTATTAATCGATATTTCTTGAAGAATAACGAAAGGTTTTATTTAACATAGCTTCTGCCATCGATGTTGATTCCGTACTTATATGAGCTCATATCTGAAACGAAATGCAATCGATAAAACTACTGCAATCATCGTCAACAAACAGAAACAGATTATACAGTTGTTTATTTATGGTAACATCAATAATTTTGTTTTTTTGTATTTAATTTGCTTTTTTCTAAATATCATATAAAACATAAAAAAATGATGTTACTTATACTATATATATATTTTTTTGTCATTTTATAGTTTGTTTATTTCTCAAGATATATGTTCCATGAAAAGAGACGTACTAATGAAAAGCACTTATTATTATAAACTAAAATGGTTACCGATGAAATGGTGACACTGAACTAGTAACTGAATGTTATTGTCGCATCTTTATCTTGTGAGAAGCTAAATATTATTGAATTCCACAAGAATATGTTTCTAATTCTTTTTATATTTTTGACAATCAAAAGTCGTATGTCGTATAAAAATCGGACAAAAAAAAAGAAACAAATAAAAACACTCATTTTGACTAAAAAAAGAGAATACTAGCAGAAGTATTGGAAGATTTATTACGATTTAAATGTTCGCGGTCCTTGACATGCGTTTTCATTCCACCAGGCATCTATATCATCGATTACATTTGGTGTTGAATCAAGATGTAAACGTAAACAAAGATCGCAAAACGGTGTGAGAAATTGAGCTATACCCCATATAAAATCCTTTTTCCATGAAAAATATGATAAGTACTTTTCTTTATTATAACGAGTTTGTTTAAGATATTGAGCTAAAGAAGTTAAATTAGGAAAATCATTTACATCTATAAAACCAGATGATGGAATAAAATAAGAATAATTTGTTCGTCCATAAACAACAGGTACAATTGGATATTCAAGTGTAGAAAAGAATTTTTCCGCTATTAAAGAAAAATAATTTCTTTTTTTCGTTGTTTCTATTCAAAAAAATCTTTATACTTACTTGTGTAATCTGTACAAAGACTGTTTTCAAAACTGAGAAAAAAATAATATTTTTTTGCAATAAATTCACGACAATCAACATTTTCAGGACATTTTTCACCACATCGTCCATAAACTTTAACATCAATGTAACGTTTTAAATGGCGTATCAAATGTAAACGTCGACTTTTACCACCACAATTCGATATTAATGCAGCAACTATACCTAAATTTTTATTCGCTAATATTTCATCTGAAAGTTGATGGTCGTGTTTTTTAAAATTTAAATTAAGATTTTTTGTTGCATTTTCTTCTAACATAAATTGATAATAATCACTTGAAGTATGTATATAAGCATTTGATGAATAATAAGATGCTATTATATGCGATTTAAATCGATAAGTCATTGTCCAATTAAAAAATGCTTTATAAGATTTTAGCTTAGGCGTATGTGTTGGTGATTCCCAAAGAGCAAATACAAAACGTTGATCTGGATGACGATTCTTTTCTGCTTGTTTTTTATTAATAGGATCACGTACATGATAAACAACGGCATCGGCTTGAGAAAAACGTTTTTTATCAATTGTTATATAACAATTATGAGCCAAATATGGACATAGAAGTTGTTTCACTAAAAATCATGAATAGATTTTTTGATCATCTTATGTACTAAATTTTTCTTTTTACTAGGTTCTGTTGATGATTTTTCTATTGTATGTAAACCCCATGTTTCATCACCAAAAAATGGATTTCCTAATAAAATAAGTTTTGATATATTTCTTAAAAATGATAAATTTTGAGTGTAAATATGTATAGGTAAATGAGGATGATAAGGAGAAGTACGAGATTCAAATAATGATTGCGAAAATTCTAAACTTTTTTTTATTTTAATAAAACTAGGTACGAAATGAACGTTTTTATGAGCATATAATGATATTGGTCTATGTGTTTGTGCTGATTGTAAGATATAAAAATATAAATTAGTAAATGATAAATAAATTATAATTGTGCCAATAATAATCCAAAAGAAATATAAAAAATATTTTGGATAGTTAGTTGAGTGATGCCTAAAAAATAACAAAAATGTGACGAATGTAATTTTCAATATTAATATTAATTTTCATATTATTGAGGTATAGTAATATAATGCATCCTACTCAATATATCATCAGTTGATCTGTTTTATGTTTTCCTTTTAAATCAAAGATTTTTTTTCATTTTGAACAAGGTTTGACTCATTCAAACAAAAAGATCTACATAGATATCTACAAATTCTTAGTTTCATCTATCAACTAGGACAGAGAAACTTGTTCTGAAATGTCAACATAATAGATAAGTAAAGCATATTTTTGTATGAAAATATCATTTGGACTTACTTCGTTATTAGAGAAGATGGCATTGAAAATCTCTAATAAACCAATTGTGTTCTAATTTATATTAAGAATGATCAGTTTTGGTCCTATTTTGTATTGAATCAAGTATATTCTCTTGGTAGTATTTATGATATGGTTTTAATAAGACATATGGAATTATTTTCACTAAAAAAACTCATGTTTTATCTAAATTAATGAAATAAAGTTCATTTATGATCTTGATAAGAAACCAGATCGAAATAAAACTCGGGTAGACATATTAAAACAAAAGCAACTCAATTCTAGAACATGTTGAGAGATCGATTAATAATCTACAATGAACAGTCTCAAACGGTCTTAGTCAAAATCAAAAGGACTCAAAACAACTAGATCTTAAGATTTCATCGTCTTGGTCTCATATTACAGACGTTATTAACTTGAATTAAACTGAAAATTAGTTATTATTCGATTTTTCACAAAAATAACATACGTACCAATATGAGACACATGTGACATATCTTGTGTTAATGGGCAATCATGTGTCTCATTTCGTAATAAATTATCTATTGAAGACAACACTATCAACAGAAAATCAATTGCATAGTTTATAGAACAGAATAGAACAAAACATATTTTATGCTGAATATGAGACGCGGCAAGAATACTTGCTTAGTCATCCGACATTCTCGACTTACTAATAATAATTGCAATGGTGAATGATTGTTATGCTTCACTTCTCTTCTCTCTATTATTGATTTTAGGTGTGCACCTTGTGTAACGATATCGACACAAATGAAGTGATCAGTCGTTCGTTTAACAGGTATGATTGTCGAGAATGACAATAACCTTCCGCTTCCAATTTACCACGGTAGTCATCTACTGTACAAATGTAATGCATAATACTTGTTGATTGCTCTAGTCGATTGACAGGTTACTTGACGTATGGTATATCATTTGAGCTAGAAGGATAGGAACTTTAGAAAAAAAATAAATAAGAATGAGCGAAAAATAAAATATTAAAGAAAGGTTACATCATTTGTTGATCAAACAAACACGATCATAAACAACTGTATACAGAGGAATAATATGGTTTACAAGCATATATAGACTCCATATTTGTCGATCTGGAAGTTAGCATACGTTTTCTGTAGATTATATTTCGCATAATTTTCTATCTCTACTTTATTAAACAATATAAAACGACATCCGTTCATATCCGGAATATTTATTCCTATATGACGATAGCTGATGTCTGTTACGATCATCGTCAACGTTACAGTAGACACAATTAGCAGTGCAACTTCCGTTTTCTAATCGCACATCTGTTCGCATTACTGCCAGTATAGTGCAAGTAATACCAAGCGGTCTGTCGAGAATTTACAGGCTATTTTTATCCGGTTCAAATTATATGGATTCTTCTAGATGTGTCACAGTGTTTTAACATTGAATTATAGTTGTGTCTTGAAACTATTAATAGACAACGTTAGCCGGTTTATAATCTATAACTCTTAATGATATGATTTATAATTACTAAAGTAAGTGATTACAATCAAATGCTTCTCTTCAGCGCTTCATTTAGATTGAAATACAACTCCATGTTGTTCTTCTTTAACTTCTTTGTTTTTTAGTTTATGTGCAACCCTAAATAACTTTTCTGGACTATTTCATGTATATATCAATCGATAGATTTTATTGAAATCTGTTCGACGAATATGATCTATTTCTTTCCACGTCTAAAATGTTGAAAAACGACTGTCATAACTCTTGGATTCAAAAAAGTATCCTTCTTGAGTTCCATACGTCTGTACTAGACAACTAGTTTATTTCAAAGAATTTTCACAAGTATACTATGGACAAGATGTTTGCGTATTGGTCTTTATGTACAGATTATATTCATAAAATAGAATGCTTCGTAATAATAGACAGCATCAACAAAGTGTTGATGATCGATAAATACATAGTAATAGAATGGCTTGTATTCCTTTATTTGGTTAATAAGAAATATTTACTTTTGAATATTTGTACAAATCAAATACCCCAAATATCTAATAAATAAATCTAATTAATCATGTGTGATGTATTTATATGATTCTTTCATTCTTCAGTACATATGAATATACTGCACATGGTCGTAAATATACAGTAGGTTGTTTATTTATGATCACAAAATTTACTTCTCTTTTCATAATGAATGTCACACACCAAATGATAACCAATGGTGCAAAACTAGTTGTCTTTGTTACGTCATGCCTTTCATGCGTTCTTAATGTATTAAGAGAAGGTATATAGAAGGACAAATGATAATGATAATTATTATTTTCATATGACTGTTAAGGACATTTTTTTACAACTTATATGATACCATCAATCAAACATTTGCTAGACATAGAACTAGAAATAATAATTAATAAATAAAAATTCATATAATTATTAATTTGATAGAAAAAAGGTATGTGAATATGTTTTGTTTTTCTATGGAATCAAAAGGTATACAATACACACGCGCACACACACAGTTTTATAAATGTTTATATGTGTATATATTAAATGGAAGAATTGTTTATTCTATTACGCATTATAACCCAGTAGTCGTTGAACACTTGGATAACGCATTCGAATTGCCATACTCTTTTGTTGATCAATATAGAGACTATTTTTTTTCATTTCAATTTCTTTCGCAAGCATTTGATGATCATCACGAAGTTTTTTCCAATTTGATTCAGCTTCTCGCAATTCTCCAGTAAGACTATCAACTGATTGTGATAGTTGATAAACTTCACCGATCAAACTTAAATAGCAATAAAATGTTAATTAATTTTTTAATGTCTAAAGCAAAAAACAAGTATGTACTTACTGGTCTTGCGCTGGATCATGACATGATTCAATACCAGGTCGAGCACGACGATCATTCAAACGAGTTTGAGCTACCTTAAGTGGTGCTTCTTTAGCACGTATTGAAGCACGAAGCATATCAATTTTCTTTTCATTATCAGCAATAGCTTTTAATGTCTAAATTAAAAACAATAACAAATGTCGATACATAAAGAAAATTATTTTTTCATTTTTTACTTCACGGCTATTCTGAATCATTTTTTGCATTGCATCAGACATTTCAGAGATTCGTCGTGCAAATTCTGTTTCAACAACATCAGCTTGTTCACGCATATCACGTGAAATATCACTAAGTATACTATCAATCAATGCACGTAATTGTATTGAAGCCATTAGTTGATTTTGACCATTAACAATATTATCATGAGAATTTTGTGCCCAAGATTCAGGTGTTGATTGACTGAATAGAAATAAATATCACATTATGATGAATGTAAAAAAAGAAATTGTTTATTTGATTATGTTTACTTGTCATAATGTCGAGCAACACCTGGATAAAACATTATATCGACATCTTCATTACGACGATTTGTTGCTTTAGCATCAGCAACAGCTGCTTCCCATTTATTACTCCAATCCATTTCAAGATTTTGTTTAGCATTACGATTTGCTCTGGTTTTAGAAAAGAAAAAAGAATAAACATCGGTTTAAGCAACAGAAGTTAGACTATTGTTATTTACGAATTTAAAATTGAATCTATGTAAAGTATTCTCCCAAAAAACGAGCTTGAAACATATTATATTGTATTATGGACAGTATAACTTGACTCTAGAAAATCCAAATCCTAGTTTTTCATTAACTAAAACACATGAATGTAGCTTTCTTTAGGCTGCATAAAATGGAAAGCCTTCGCGTTCTCTGAGACGCTTTTCGTGGTTGAGATACAGCAATTTAATTAAGTTCAAAAAACTGTTTTCTTGAGAAAATAATAAAAAAATGGCTTTAAGAGCTTACGTAAGATTGCTGTATCTCAGCGAAAAAAAGTTGCACAGAAATCGTAGGTGTCTCCTTCTATGTAATCTGAACAAAACTATATTCGGGTGTTATAGGTATTAAAAGACTAGGATTTCGATTTTCTCAAGTTTCTATTTTTGAGAAACTGATAATAATTATTATATTCTTATTAGAAACCATTTTCTCTACTAGAATCAATATATATATTCTTTCTAACACTCATGACAACGGAAAAAATATTCAAAATAAACCTTCTAGAATAATATTGGTACACACTGTATATAAGGAAGCGAAAAATACTACCATTCTTTCCAAATAAAATCCAAATAGGATTTACAACAATGTATTTATAACTAGACGTATCGAAACTTATAAAACCTTGTCCAGAACGTATAGTTTCATTACGACATATATCATGTAGAAATTCTTATTCAACTCAAGCAACTATATCAAGTATATCTTTATAGCTTATCTATATGTCATAATATTGAAAAACTATTTAATTACCACATACTTTTATTTGCTATGATACGGTGCAGTGTTTTTTTTTTGATGATCTCATACAAATAATATGTGATGTAAAATAGAACATTTTGACCACACACAATCTTCTGTTTACCTAATTTGTTGTTCAGCCGTCATAATTGTTTGACGTAAAAGATTTTGTACATTATTAATAATTTCAACTTCTTTTAATAGACCAACTTCAACTGCATCACAAACACGATCTTCTCCATAACGGCGATCACGATTACCTAAACATTCTGTTGCAATATGAAGTGGAGCTTCCGTTGCATCCAATGAATTCGTTAAACGTTTCTTTTGTGCTATTAATAAATCAGTTTCATTACGTATATCTTCAATCATACGATTAAGTTCAAATTTCCAAAAATTAATGTCATGTAATCTTTAATGATAAACATATAAATAAAAGTAAAAATAATCTTCTCTTAAGAAGTAATAAAACAAAATCGTATTTACAAACCGTTGTTGTAATTTTTTTGTTGATAAAGCTTGTGTTTGTTGTGAAAGTACAAGTGTTTCATTCTCGGTTCGTGTTGCTTGCCAACGTTGCTTTTCTGATAAATCGCGATCAGTAAATGATTGATAATATTTAGCATAATTATTTTCGTGCCATTCATTAGGATTGTATTTATTTGAACGAAAACCAACAGTAGATACACCTATACTAGATCCTGTTTGTCCACGATAACTAGGATCAAATTCATATTTTTCCGTTGACAACATTTTTTCTTTTTTCCAACACGAAACACTGAATTAATTTGTTGTTCGAGCACGAGTGGAATCAATGTTTTCTCTATAGATGATTACTTGTCGACAAACATTTACAGCTGATGTTGTCAAGCAACAGACCTGTAAGAGAAAAGTTATGATGAAATACATTTATTCCATATGTAGATGGCATCTACAAACGGTTAACGAGAGTCACATGACTGAATAAAAGAAATGAAAAATAATTAGCTACCTAACGTGTTATAAAAACAACGCAAATATACTTTGACGTTGTTGAGAAAAGATTTGAGAATAAGGTTTTCAAATAGATTCATATCTAACAAATGAATTAAGATAATTCAAAATATTAAATAATTTTTTAAAAATATCTTTATGTTAATGAAAATACAAAAAAACGAAAATCTATGATGCGACATTAAAGTCTTTGGACAAATATCAAACTGTGTTATACTATATTGTCGACTTCTAGATCAAGAAAACTTCTTTTTGTTAGAAAAAAAAATGCCTAACCAAAGACACCTGCCAAAAATGAACTTGATGAGAAGAAAAAGTATAAAAAACCAAACATTTCTCAAAAAAAAAAAAACTTTTGCAATGTTTTGTCAATTTGAATAGTATGCATTTCTGAATCATTTTCGGTGATATGAATGAATCAAACTTGAAATAAAAATACAACAAAATGTAGCGTCTTACTTAGTCTTGTTTAGAAACAGCTACATTTCGGTATAAACATCAAGAGTAAATTTTACTTTCAATATACCTTTAAAGATAGCATTCGTTATGCTTAAAAAATACCAACATTAAACATGTTTTTATCATTTCCCTTCTAATTAAAAGAATATTAGCAGCATAAACATAATGCTATGACTCGATAGTGAAGTTAAAATAATTTTTTTTAGAAGCATTTAGTTTTGGACCAATAGTTCTGTAAACGCCTTTCCCATGCGATAATTTAATATTTTCAGAGTTATCTTATTACAATATTTTTTTTTCAGTTGGATAGGCTAATATTTATAGACACAAAGATCTACTATAGTAAACATTGAAACACCAGTTGTCATAAATACTATTGGATCTTCCTTTGACGACCCTATTGATCTTGAAATTGATAATGCAACATTTACTAATCTTTGTCGAATTGATATAGTTTGAAGCATAATTAAGGACAAATTGAGAAGAGAAAGATTTGAAAGTGGGTATCTCAGCAAAAAAGACAAACAAATTATGAAAAAATTACCGATTCGGCTGAAGCCTATCCTAAATCAAAATTGAGATGAAATACATAAACATTAACACGCTTTGTTTGTTTATATATTCACATAAATAAAATCTGAAATTCTTGTAGTAGTAAAATTACAACATTGTATCGTTTCAAGATAGATAAGCTTTACACAGGTAATTGTACTTATTACATATTATAAATTATAAGAGAAAGAAGAGTAATAAATCATGTATTTTATTTTAGTTATATTGATTCTCTAAAATTGTGTTGAGCAACGGCGCGATGAAATAAATATAATTAGAAGATTTTCATTAAAAAATTCTTAATTAAAGGCATTGTTCGTTGATTTTCTATGCAACTAAGAAGAGTAAAAGAATCATAATTTTTGCTCTTGATTGATTCGAGATTTATAGAATAGAAAATAATTAATAAGATTTATGAAACGTTGAATACATTAAGATGAATTTGAATTTTCTGTATGACAATAGTGGGATTACATTGCCTACACTATATAAAAAAGTATGAAATTTCTTAATCTAGGAAAGAATTTGATTAATAATCATTTCTGTTTTTTTGTCTAAATAGAAAAACTCATGGTTTGAATGGTTTCGTTTACGACGAAGAAAACCAAATTCTGAAGAAGAAATCAATGAAATTCATGATCTTATTCTTAATGTTTATGAATCGATGGATGATCAAGCACGTGCTGTTCTTCTTTCTCTATCTAAAATCATTCAAGATGAAGATAGTTCAGTAACAATTGAAGAGAAAATCAAAGCTATTGTTGCCATTGGTCATTCACTTTGTTGTGGTATAAACTAACAAAAATATCTTTAAAGATGATATAAAATTTATTTATTTTAAATGATCATATAGCTCATATGCAAGTAAAAAATTCAACACAAATCTATTCAAAATTACTCGTGCGAGCATTGTCTCATCAAGACTTACGAATGCGTTTGGCTGCCATGATTGCTATTGCTGAAACAGCAATTGATAATCTTAGTTTTCAAATGAAAGTAATTACTTTTGGTTTGATTAGAAATTTTTCGATTGGAGACAGAAAACATCATAGGACGCAGGATCTGTAGCACCTCCAAGTCCTCTTATTGATCATGATCACATGAAGTTCTGATCTAGTAGAGAAACTCATCGTAATTTTCCATTATTATCAATAGTAGTCAAAAGAGTGTCTGACATGCCAGCGACCAGCGCTTCAATAAAAATATTATTTAGCTTATGTTAATTAAATTGACCTGTAATCAAAGACGAATACGTTTTTTAGCAAATCAAATTGATAATATATTATTTATTCTTTGAGACGAGAAATTCAAGAAAAAGCAATAAAAAGAAAACTTATTGCTTCTCGTTGTCCATCTGTTTATATTGATGATCTTTTGAATCTTGTATTTTTATGTTTTTTTTTTATTATTATTGTTCATTTCATTTCTACCGAAAAAATGTTATAAAATAAATGATTTTTGTATAAATACTTTGTCTATGATATGTATTCTTGTAACTCATATACAGACAAGCGTTTTATTGTCGAAGATGCAATAAAAAGGTCATTCTTCAAGCCAGATGCAGAAGAATTGTTTGGCCTATTAGGACAAAGAAAATCGTCTTTTAAGGTTCTCTAATTGAAAGCATCTCAATAATTCGACAGAACAAAATTCTTCTGTTAATTGTATATGTCCATTTATCTTTCAACAATCTTCATCGAATTTCTTTCTCAGTTAAATGAAAATGATATAATAACAAAATTATTCGAAATAATGAAAAATTCAATGCCACATGCTGGTCGTAGACTTGATGATATAAATGAACATTCAAAGTTGGTTGCATGGAGTTCTTATACAATTGTCAATATCTGTGCTAATTGCATGCCAAATATTCTTCTACTTAAAGGTAGAAGAAAAAAATCAGAATACCAATGCACTATATATATATACATAATTATTTCTTTTCTTTTTTTTAAATAAGATATTGTTCCTCATGAATTAGAAACTTTAAATGAGGCTATTCAAATGGAAATTTGGCGTTATGTTTGGCGTGAAAATTATGCTCAAATAATTGTTGAATTTGCTGATAGTAAACTAATTTCCAATATTATATGCAATGCTATTCAACCAAAATCTTATTTATTTGAAAATCATCATGAACAAACATCGAATAGAAGTTCGCTTAATAATAACTTAAGTTCATCAAATCGTATATCATTTTCAGTAAATTACCAACGATGTACAATTTTTTAATAAATCATTAAATATATGATACATCCTTCGTCTACCTACAGGCATATATAGATATATATAAATCAGTAATAATCAAGATTAACATTTAATGAATAAACTGGAGTAATTTTTATCATAATTAATAAGTAATGTAAAAACTCTTGAAAAGACTGTTGAAATCTATTTCTCGTTCAACAATATAGCATCGGATTGATTTTGATATGTTTTGCTTCAAAGAGAAAAGTTTGAAAAGTATATATATTTAAAAAAAAACAGTCTTCGGGAAAGCTCATTTTTGAATATTAATCATTCTCATTTGATAGGGCTAGCATTAAAACTCATCAGAGAAATTTACTTTGGAGTCTGTTGTTTCTCTCTAGAGATTTCAAAGAAAAAGCTCGTCATGCTATTTACTTCATAATCAACTGTCTAGTTAATGCATCATGCTTAAAATTTTATTATTTATGAAGGCATCATATAATTCATAACATTCAATATTAATAAACATCAAAATCTTCTACATACCATGTCTGTTAGAAGCAGCTATTCTTTTTATAAATACTCTACATACATCAGTTTGAATAATGTATGTATTTAATCAGAATTTTTTAACGAACATATACAAAATATTGAAGAAAAACAAAAGAGTTAACATTAACAAATTGAGTATGTTACTTTTTTTCTTACAAATCAAATTCAAATGTTTTGCAAAAAAGAACTTTCATTTTCATCACTCTCTTTTATTGATTGATCTTATGAAACTGCTTTGGATTCATCTTCAAAGAATTACTTACTTTTATGTCAAAGATTATTGTTATCAGTAATAATATACATAATCAATCAAGAAAATAACGCCATCTATAAAGAAGATTTTTATTAGACAAAACTACGTTTTTTTTTCATTCTTTCTTCAACTTTTTTTATTATTCTTAACTATTCATATTATTTGTGATAGAATTCTATATATAATTTTCAAATCCAATAATATTTCCCAATCAATATGAAATGATTCATTTTATTATGCGAGGTCAAATGAGATTGAATCGATCAAATTTAAGCAACGAAATTGAGTTTGTTTTGTATTTATTTAACATTTCTTCCTAGATGAAACGAAATCTTACTTTAAAAAAATAATAAAAAAAATGTCTTCAGAACCTACTGTAACAAAACCAATATTTTCACCAAATCGTACACGTTTGAAAACTTCGGATCAAAATAATTCTAATGAACATGAATTATCATCATCGGCAGCAAGTGAAGAAAGTCATACATTATTATCTGAAACTGTAACAACATTAGCAAGTAATGTTTATAATGAATTAGAACGTATTATAAAAAATTTCGGTGAAAATAGTGTAAAAGATCTGATGCCTGTTATGATATCAACATTAGGTTTGTTACAACAAAAAAGAAAAACAATAAAATTTTCTTGATTATTTTTAGAATCACTTGATAGTGCCCTAAACGAACGTGAAGTTAGTAAACTTGAAATTGAATCATTAAAAGAACAGAATGAACAATTATTTCAACAATATGAACGTGAAAAAGGTTTTCATAAAGAATATCAACAGGTAAATTTTTTATTTTATCTTTAAAAAAAAAACAAACAGATTTTAAAAATTTTCATTTTTAGCGTTATCTTCAAGTTGAAGATCATCTTGAAGAAACGAAACGTGAAAATGATGAAAAATTACAAAGTCTTGAATCTATTGTTAAAATATTTGAAATAAAAGCACGAAATGCTGCAGATCATGTTGCACGTTTAGAAGAAAAAGAAAATGAAATGAAAACAGAATATAAACGACTACATGAACGATATTGTGAAGTATGAGATATAAGAAAACCAAAAGAAAATAAGAAAATATTTTTCCATTATATATTTAGTTATTCAAAGCTCATTGTGATTATATGGAAAGAACGAAAATTTTATATGGAACTGATCGATTGGATCAATTATCTACGACACATAATGCTCCACGTTCTCGGTTAGTTTTGTCTTTTGTAAAAAAAAAAAAGAAAAGTATCTTGTATTTGCGGGAGCAATTTAAACGGTCAGACTAGACAATGTCGTCTAATATATGAGTAGGGTTCGGGTTCAAAAATTCTCGATTCAACAGACTCTACTAATGAGCGCTGATAGATATATTACATTATTAATCTATAGCCAATTATTGTAATAGTTACTATATAGGCTATTACTTATGTACAAACTGATTTATCTGTTTCCGAGCTAGACTAGTGCTCGTATTCAAATACATATGCGTATTTATCACTATAAAAATGATTTTACTAAATTATATAGAGGTAACCTTCCATTAACATCTCAACAACAATCTCAAGTATTAGACAATAAACAACCATCTTCTAATGAACCATTAACCGATGAAATAATTCCTTCACGTCCAGATCTTTCTTTCCAGTAAATTTTTATTAAATTTTTTAATAAATTAATTCATTAATATTAATTCTTTTTGTATTAGAACTTTTAAACAACCAACTGTTGGTGTTAATTTTCGTTCGGAACTTGAAGCTGCTGATGGTAAACAAACTCAAACAGAATCAATGACCAGTAATGATGCAGCTGTAAATACAGGTATATATCCTTTTTATTCTTTTTCTATCCCAACCCTTTCCCTTTCTCTCACATACAAACACACCTAAAATTCAGAAAAAAAAAATTCCATATTCAAACTTAGTTTTTCATGATGATTGGGTAGAGAATTGGTCAAGTAGTTGTAAGTAAATGAATTCATTTTTTTCTGTCCTAAGGATGTATGATATGCAAGAATAAAAAAAAAGCAAACTTAACTTGTATTTGACTAGTGCATGACTTTGTAATACGCATAAATATTTTCAGCTAAATCGGCAAAATCTACATCAACAATATCAATAACAAATTCATCAAAAATGTCTGATGAAATGTCTTTAAAAGAATTTGCATCAGGTCGGCTAGCTATTGTAAAAATTCATGTTGTCTAATTGTTTGTTTATTTAAACATGTGCTCGTATGATTAAATGAAATATGCCAATGCTGA